GCTAACAGAATTAAGTTTCGGCTCGGGGACGTGGCGCTGGAAAGAGCCCGGCTGTTTCGTTCTGCCGCCGCGAGCTCACGGACGGAGGGGTGGAACTAAACGTCAGCCCGGTTTGAGTTCGGAGTCAGGCCTGAAAGGACGCGGCCGAGTTAAAACGCTCCCGGCCGGATCCCCCGCTCGTTAAAATTGCAGATTAGCCTCCTCAAGAGGAGCTGGTGGCGTGTGATTAAGAGGCAAGAGACACTCCGGGCAGGACACCGGATCGCAACAGCCGACGCCGGGTGCTTCGTTCACCTCAGATCCCCCCCTGGCGAAAAGCCCCGAGTTCCCCCTTGACGTGGCACCCTTCGCCCCAGCTCGCGCGTTTTAGCTAAAAACACCCTTTTTGTGAGGGAAACTGAGGCCAAGCCCAGCCCAAACCTGGCTCCGGAGCGCCGGAACATGCGCAGGCTGGTTAAACGCATATAGAGTTGTCCGTGGCGGAGCTGAAGCGTCGCTAGAAAGGGCCGAAAGCGGCTGTTAGCTCTGTTTTGTCTTTATTTTTTCCCCCACCCTCTGACGTGTTTTAAAATACAGTCTCACACTTTGAGCGGCGACCAACAACCCTTCGGGGAAGGACTCGGGTATCGGGCAGAGGCGACGCTGCCCTCGCGGTGCTCCGAGTTTTAAGGACGCTGCGGAGGCTGGAGCTAGCGCTCATTAGGACGGCAAGCCCATTAGGCGGAAAAATTAGCGAGGGAAGACCAAGCGCGCGGTTTCCCTCGCTCGGCACCGACTGACGAGGTTTCTTTTCCGGTTTCCCACAGCCTGTAATCGCCACGGCAGCCGAAGGCAGGAGACCAGCGAGCGAGACGGCCGCCTGTGCAACCCCTCGCTGGTGTAAGGCGTCGTGAATATCCAGGCGAAAAAAAAAAGGGAGGAGGGAAAAAAAATTTAAAAAGCACTTTCTGCACCCAAATTCCCCAGCGCCGGCGGGCACCCAGCTCCGCGCCGTTGGCGTTCAGTTTTGGGGGGAAAGAACGCAAATCCAGGGGGCTAATCGGGTCAACTCCCCCCCGCAAAGCGCCGAAACCCACAGATTAATTGCGTTAGGGCATTGCGGTTTTTTTTTCTTTTTATACGCAAAATTCAAAGTGCATTTTATTTGCTTCCCTGAAGGAACAGCCCAGCTTGGCAGCAGGTGACGCCAAGGGAGGCTCCTGCCACGCTCGGGCCAACTCCAGCACCCACCTGGCGTTTGGTTGTTTCCTTTTGCAGGTGCCAAAATACACAAAAAAAGCAGCCCGAAAGCAGCAGTCCTGAGGCTACGCGGAGGGAGAGGGCCAAAGAGATTTGCTTCGTCCCGTCTCCCGCCGTCGTTCCGCCCAGCGGAGGCTTAAATTTTGACAACTTGGGCGGCAACGCAAGGGCTCTTCCGCTCCCACTCCGCGTCGTGCCGCCGCACGTACAGGCGCCCGTCGAGCCAGACGACCTCACCCTGCCCCTTCGTCAGGCGGCCGGGATTGATGCACACGCAGCCCAGGACGTCCTGCGGAGAAAGAGCAAATTAAAACCGATCCCAGCTTACGTCCAAGGAGAATTTCCCAGGGGGAATTTCGGCACGGGAGAGCGGACAAAGCCCGCTCCGCTTTACCTTGACGAAGTACCTCAGCTCCGAGGGGGCGACGAGGACGTCCGGCGTGACGGGCAGGGCCGCGTAGCTGTAGAAGTTCTCGTAGTCCACGTTCATCTCCTCCGCGGGCGGGTAGAGCGGGTAATAACTGCCGGAGAGAGCAGAGAGAGGTTGTCCGCGCTTCCGCGTCCTCCGGCATCGCGAGAGCGCCGACGCCTCCTCACGGCGGAGGAAGCCGGCTGGGCGTTAAACCGGATTCAGTTTTGGTGTTAGAACATAGCTTTTGGGTCAAATTTACATCAGCGTACGGCTGCTGCTCTTTTACAGTCTGTTCAAGGGGAACAAGCGGGAGCTCGGAGCTAATCTGGAGAGCCATAAAACCACCGGATCATTCCGGAGCGGGCAGTTATTCCTATTCCTTTTACCCCGTCCTCAGGCATCTCCTACCGGCCGTTCTCGGGACACCGGCCTGGAAAATCCGACCCAGTTGCGTCCTGCGGGACGGCGCAGGCCGGTCTGGAAGACGTCCGGCATTAAGCACCCCCAAATCGCGCATCTAGAGGGTTATCGAATTCAAAAAGGAGCATTTTGACTTGAAAAACATCACCCTAAGCGGGGCGGGAGGGACGGCAGTGCGCCATTTCAGTTGTTTTGCCCTTTTTCGGCAGGGCTAGGCGACGATCCAGGAACTCGCCTCACCTCCTCTGCGTCAGGACGTGCTTGAGGATCCGCGTGAACCTGTCCGAGATGCCCGAGGAGCTGTAAGAGACCGAAAACAAGCTATAAAAGGAGTCGGGGCGGGGGGGGGAAATAAAAGGTAGCGCTTAAGCTCATTTGTGAGGTCACTGTTGACATGCTGCGCCGCTCAATTAGCCAGCGGGCCTGATTAGCGACGCAGGCAAGCGGCTAACGAAGCGTTTTGTTCTGCCCAGCACCGCGGGCTCGGGCCAGCTCTTCCTCCGAGCCCCGCAAACGGAGCACGACGCGCCAGGAGAAAAACAGCCCGAGCAGAGAAACGCCGGTGGCATTTTGTTCGCCGAGGCGGGATGCCAGAGAGGCAAAACGGAGCGAAACGACCCCGGAGGGAGCGGCTGAGGCTTCTCTCCGCAGGAGCGGCTAAAACCCCCTCGGCCCCCATGTGGAAGAGCAGGTCGGTGGAGGTCAAGCCGAAGACGGTGCCGTTGATTTCCAGGGTGCAGGGGTCCGAGACGAAGTGGACGCGCTGAAACGAGAAGGGGGACGCGATGGGTTTTTCCGGCAAGGGCGCCGCCGGCATCTCCGAATCTGTCTAAACCCGAGGGACGGGCTGGGGAGTCGCCCGACGCCACGACAGCGGCGTGGAAGCTCCTCGGTCAGAAACGCGTTAAATTAGGAAAAAGAGGGTTAGGAGACGCGTAGGGCTGGGCTCTACAAATCCGCCTCAAACGATGCGTTTTTCCTGGCAAAAACA